TTCATGATCACACATGTTGGTGTGCTGCTTCCATGTGGGCTTTGTTGCTTCTGGGCTAGATGGCCGCTTGTTTACTTTCAAGCCTTTTAAGTCCCCAGACGCTGTAAGTGCCCACTCTTTTTTAAAAAGAATACATAGACTATGTCTGCCTTTTTCACCCCTGGTGTGGGGTAGACTTGTCCGGAGATCACCTCCATGATTACACAGCACACTGCACGCAGAAGCAGAGAAGAGAATGCATCCGTCTTAGTATTAAGACAGGCAGTCGAGCAGTTTGCAGAAATGAAAAAGTGCCAGTCTTCTCAATAAATTTTTACTTGGAAAATATGTTTTTAAAGCAATGCTATTTAAACTGTAATGGATTCATTACTGTTATTTTCAAATAAGTTAAGAAATTAGCCTATCTTCTAATCACTCAGTTTCCATCTCTATGACTGATCACTACAACCCAGAATCACTGCTCCTTGCAGTCCTTACTAGTTAGGCATAAAGGGCCCCAATACTAATGCCCACACTTTTCTGGCTTACTGATGGCGTCGGGAGAAGAGAGAAGGCATCGGGCCAATAAGTCACAACCCAGCGCAGGGGAATACAAAACGTCAGCTCCAGTGCAGCAAAGCTCGGTTAGCTTATAAGAAGGGAACCTTACATTTTAAAATTTTCTCTTCAGCTTCTTTAAGGTGTGATGTGGACGTAGGGCACCATGTGGGAAGCCAACCAGTTAGCCATCCTGACCTAGAGCATCAAAAACAAGACACAAGCAGGTGAGTTAATGCTTTTCTCAACTCTCAACTGAGACATACAAGGAAGAAAAGCAGAAGCGACAACGTTGTTCTGCCTGTGGGAGGGCGGCGTCTTTTCACTGTTTCTCTGTGAACTCTTTGAAGCCTCTTCCTATGTGACAAAAGGTACCCTAATGGGAGTCAAGCATTGTCCTCAGGACTTGGGACAAATATTTGACTTCTGTCCTTGCTATCTACAAAGCACAATTCAAGAGCATCTGTCTTCAGGAATGCTGGGTGGTGGTGGATGCCGTGAGGACATTCCTTGTCATGAAGCCCCTGGGCCCTGCGGGAGCAGGGCAGAAATCCTTCATTGGAAGAGTTAGATTCCAAACAATTATGTTAGATTAAAAACGAGCAGAACAAGAAAAGGAGAAAAAGAGCAATGCATTTTTCCTATCCCTACCCTGCAGCAAGTCAACCTCTTACAAGATAATGTGCAAAACAAGTTACCGCTAAGAGCAGGTTTATATGACAGTGAAAAGGTGTGTGTATAGGGGGCAGGGATAACAGAAAAGATACTTCCGAGGGATAAAAGATTGCAAATACCATGGTGACCAGCCGTAACCCATCCCTGTACAAAGGCAGGAGACTGGCATGCGTATTAACCGCGTTGATCTAACTGGTTAACTCTTCATGGGAATAACCAAAAAGTGTGAATTTGAGCAAAGAGTAGATGAAAAGAATGGCCCACATATCCCTCAGAAGGCAGCTGCCCTGGCGTGAGGGAGGCTGCAGCACACAGCCATCGGGAGAAGCTAGCGGAGCACCGGGGAACGGCAGAAGCCAGGGCACTGCAGCAATCTGGGACAGTATGTCCTGCCAACGCGCCATCTGACAGACAGCAAGAGCTCAGCACCCGGAGATTACTACTGAAGAATGAGAACTTCCTGGTGAAAGAGAGGATGAGTTTGAAGAGGAAGGGAGGACAACGGCGGCAGATTGCAAAGGAGAGGGCAGGGCCTGAGCCTAAGCTTCAGCACAGCGACGGCTGGAGAGGCGAGGCTGGATGTGACTGTTAGCTGAACGTGCAGAAGGCATGACAGGGAACGTCCCGGTTTCTGCGTTAGGTGTTACCCATCATGATAGACACGTGGGAAGACAAGTATGGTTACTAGTGGAGAAAAGTGCTCTGTTTTGGCAGGTCAATCCAGCCTTTTTCAGCTTTGTGAGCTCATCATACTAGTTTCTTCTTTGTAGAACTTCTCTCTGTGTTACACATAACAGGCACTCACTAAGAAAACATTTGTTGAGTGAACAGTCATTCAACAGGCAGGGCATTCCCAGCCTACATGATCACCACTGCGTGGATTCAGAAAAGGTTCAGCAAAGTTACAAGCCATGACCACGGGTACACAGCTAGTAAGGATAGATGACACAAGTGAAAATCTGAATTCAATTTTAAACTATTCCTAAGGCCCTTTTCTCACCTAACTATGTCCCTCAAAACCCTGCGTAGGTGCAATTCCCTCATCACCCACGTATGGGCCCCGGATGGCACAGCGTGGGGCTGTTAGCCTGTTGGCCCAGAGTCCGCAGTGTGAACACATCAGCTGCTCGGCAGAAAGATGTAACAACCTGCTTCCATGACGGTAATCTAAAGATCTATAGCGTCGGGAACTCCCGGGGGCATTTCTACTCTGTCCTGCAGGACTGATATGCGTTGGAATCGACTCGTTGGCTGTGGGTTTGGTTTGGGGTTACCTATGGAATAAAATACACATTCCTTAAACCTTCCAGAAGGTGCCTGGGGTGCAGTGATTTATTTACCTGGTATGGTTCTTCTAGCCATAGTCTTTGCAACTTCCACCAAAGGACTGGGTGGGATCATGCAGATTGGGTGTGTTTATATTTTTCCTGATGGGCCAGTTTAAGAGAAGGTGGCAGGAAGAAGCTGATAGGATTATCTGGTTCAGTTGTGATTCTTAATAGGGTTCACTGTGATTGTACAAACTTGGAACTCTCTTGAAGGATTGAAGATAAACAAGCAAGTAGCTATCTAGCTGAGAAGCATCAAAGTCCACATGGAGGAAGCACACCAGCCTGTGTAATCATGAGGTGTCGATGGGATCAGGTATCAGGCTTCAAAGACCCAGAACAAAAAACCATATCAATGTGAATGAGGAGGAGTTTGGAGTGGAGATCCGAAGCCCATTTGTAGACAACTGGAGATGCCCTTACAGAAGGGTCACAAGAAGAAATCAGCCAGTCAGGATGCAGTACAGCACCAATGAAACATACAACTTTCCTCTAGTTCCCTGGCCCCCACTATCATAACCCCAATTCTATCTTATAAATCCAGCTATACATAACACTGGCACAGATAAGAGTTGGAAACACAGGGAACTCAGTACAGATAAACCCCTTAGGACCAATAATGAGAGTAACAATACCAAGAGGGTAAGGGGGAACCGATCACAATGATCTACAAATAACCCTCTCCCAGGGGGACGGGCAACAGAAAAGTGGGTGAAGGGAGACATTGGTCAGTGTAAGACATGAAAAAATAATTTATAAATTTATCAAGGGTTCATGAGGGAGGGAGGGAGGGAAAAAGCGAGGAGCCCCAAGGGCTCAAGTAGAAAGAAAATGTTTTGAAAATGATGATGGCAGCAAATGTACAAATGTGCTTGACACAATGGATGTATGTATGGATTGTGATAAGAGCTGTACGATCCCCCAATAAAATGATTTTTAAAAAAAGAAAATGATAATGGCAGCAAATGTACAAATGTGTTTGACACAATGGATGGGTGGATGGATTGTGATAAGAGCTGTACGAGCCCCCAATAAAATGGTTTTTTTTTAAACATAAAAACTTGGAACTCTACTGTGGGGATTCGTCATTTTTGCCATCCTGCTGGGTATAAAACTGAACCACTGCAGAAGCAGGAACAGGGATCTCACCACCACCAAGACTGGAGTGCCGGAACGCCTCCTCCAACCAGGAGACAGTGCTGGGACATCGCAGCAGAGCAGACAGCAGAACCAAGAGCATAAACCCGCTGCCACGAGTCAATGCTGACTCCTAACGACCCTCTGTGGGTTTCCAAGACTAACCTTTTCTCCCTCAGAGCTGCTAGTGGCTTTGAACTGCCGACCATGCTGCAGGCTGCAGCCCAGTGCCTTACCACTACACCACCAGGGCTCCCACCAAGAGCATGGAGCAGAGCAATAGGCTTCCTGGCCCGTGAAGCAAATGCAGCTGGGTGCCTGTGAGCAGAAGACTCATTACTGAGTGGGTGCCTCCAGGACCTTAAATGGGTGAACTAGGTTTGCTGACCCAGAGAGCTGGAGCCAGGGGCCTTCAAGCCACAGCTTACGGCGGAATGGAATGCCCTGTGGGCATTTACCAGCAGCACTAAGGGAGCTTCCTAACATTGCCCAAGCAGGGAAGATGTGTGACTTAGAGGCAGATGACAGAGAGGTGCACCTTCAGGGATAGCTGAGAAGAACCTGACTGGAAGGGCTGGAAGCTAAGCATTTCTGATCCTGAATTGGGCATATCCTGTTAACTTCCTTAATAAACCCTGGAATTGTATGATCTGTGACTTGTGGGTGGCCACTGTAATGAATGATCAAACCCTGCAGGAAAGGGTGGTGGGTGCTGTGGGAGGGACTGTTGGTGTCAGAATTGGTAAAGAAGGTGGGAAGTAGCGACATGCCTGAGCTCCAACTCATAAGAATCCAGGTGAAGGGAGACGTCGGACAGGGCAAGATATGACAAAATAACAATTTATAAACTATCAAGGGCTCATGAGGGAGGGGTGAGCGGGGAGGGAGGGGAAAAATGAGGACCTAATGCCGGGGGTTTAAGTGGAGGGAAAATGTTTTGAGAATGATGTACAAATGGGCTTTACACAATTGATGTGTGTATGGATTGTGATAAGATTTGTATGAGCCCCTAATAAAACAATTAAAAAAAAAAAAAAGAATCCATCTTGGGCTGATACGTTTGATTCTTCTCTCGGCTGCAAAGCCAGGGGAGGTCAGATGTGGCCCGTATGTCATTCTGACCAAAAACCAAAACCTCACTGCCAGCAAGTCAATTCTGACTCATGGCAACCCGTTAGGACAGGGTTTAGAACTGCCTCAGGATTCCTGAGACTAACTCGTTAGAGGAGTAGAAAGTCTCATCTTTCCTTCAGGGAGTGACTGGTGGCTTTGTGAGGTTAGCAGCCCAACAAATAACCAACTGTGCCGCCCAGGCTCCTTCTGACAGTACTCCACATTTCATCCAGAGCCTGCTGCCTCCGCTTCTGCTCTCTTGCACCTGTGTTTTTTGCAATACTGCAGAGGTCCCCCATTCGGAGACCTGGTTGCAGAGTGATTCTGTGTTGGCCTATGATTCACTAGGTCTGCAGTTCAAAACCACCAGCTGCTCCTCAGGAGGAAGATGGGCTTTCTACTCCTGTAAAGCATTACAGTCTTGGAAACCTACATGGGCAGTTCTACCCTGTCCTGTAGGGACACCATGAGTCAGCATGAGTTTTGTTTTTTGGTTTACAGGTCCCAAAATTTTGTTATTTTTTTGTGCCTTTGTGGCTTTGCATAGTGCTTCCCTCTGCCCAGAGTGTCTTGCTTCACACCTCTTCTACTGTCCTTGACCCTGATGCCAAGGGCAGAGTTCATTCAGCACTCCTCTGGCCCTGGTTACAAATACAGCTGCTAGTGCTGTGGTCATTTGTTCCCAAATGTGTTTCCAGCTTCATCTGCCCTACTGCATCACGTGGGTCCATCCTTATACCATCAGTGCCAAACATACCACCTGGCTGGTGGCCAGGAGAGTGCTTGCCAGCTGTTGGTGGATGTGAACTAAAGGCCCAGGTCATTAGAAATTAGAGACATAGGAGAAGGCAGATGAGGTTCACGTCTACAGTCACAGTGCACTTATAGAACAGGTCCATAGGTTCTTTAATAGGAGTCAGGGCAGGCAAGGCCCTGAATCTACTCTCCTCTAGTAAAATTAAAAAAATGATGCACAGCGGGGAACAGGAAAAGCGGTATCCAATTTAACCAATATAGTAAGGCAGTCAGAAGCACAGCCACCTAAATGATGTGCCCACCTTTTGTATGTATAATATATACGAGCCCTGGTGGCATAGTGGTTATAGGTTGGGCTGCTAAGTACAACGCCAGCAGTTCGAAACCACCAACCACTCCAGAGGAGAAAGACGGGGCTTTTTACTCCCATACAGAGGTACAGCCTCGGAACTCACAGGGGCAGTTCTACCCTATGCTGTAGGGTCGCTGTGAATCGTCACTGGCTCCATGGCAGGGAGTTTGGTTTTAGTTTTTTTGAGTTCCCTTATCATCTCATTTTGTCTTTAAACTTAAGAACTTCCTAGTAAGTTGAATACGTCTTTCACATGCACACTGTACAGACAAACATCAACAGGAAGAAGGAAGGCTCGGGACAGTAAGTGGATAGAGCTGCTCAGGTTTTCATGGCACGCAGCTTTACTTTGAAGTTATTCACAGAAAACAGTATCTGAAGACACATCATAATTTGCATTCTGATGAAGCTCAACTCGACTTTAATGCTCCCTGCAGCCACTTGCACACCTGCTGAACTAATAGGCTACGGTGGTAAGGCTTCCCAGCACCCCCACAAATGTAATGATTTCAAGATGATAGAAAACATCACGAGTCTGTGTGTACACCTGTAAGCATAGTTCCATGTTATCAAGGAAAAATTATTCAAGTCTTCAGTAGTGAAATTTTCAGGTGCTGAAAAAAAACTGTTAGTGAACAGGAAATTCAAGTAAAAGCTCTCCTGATCTTAAGAGTGTTTCCTTGTTTGTTTTTAAAGTAACTATTATTAAGTTGGAGCTCTTTCATAAGGTCTACGTTAAGCCTTAAAAACACAACCTAGTACCAACAAGATGTTATTTACAACTCAGTCTCAGCAATTTTCTTAAATATTCCTAAAATCACAGCAAAAGTTCTTTGCCAAAGAGAATCAGAGGTCAGTACAAAAAAACAAAAAAATGAAAGTAGCATGAACTATAATCTACTATTGCTCCAAGTGACATCATAGACAAGTTAGGGCAAACACACACACACACTACAATTTTGGCTTCAATCTTTTAAAAAAAACTATTATTCAAAAAAATAATTCAGACTCTAAATACTTATCGTGTTACATACTAGCCTACAATGGAAGAATTATGCCTACCTCTACCAATTTAGCACTCATTACAAACCAAACTGTAAAGAGATGGCATTGACTTATCTTTGCATTTGTCTCCTTATGACCCACTTAACTCACTGAAACCCATAGCAATCAAGTTGACTCCAATTCATAGTGACCCTATAGGACAGAGAATTGCCCTGTTCTTCTCTTTCTGGAAGCAGACTGCCTCATCTGTCCTGAGGACCCGCTGGTGGGTTTGAACCTCTGATCTTCCAGGTAACAGCTGAGCACTTAAGCATTGGGTTAAAAGGGCTCCTTATAAAGCATTGCAGAAGCATCAATTCAGGAGGAGGTTAAGGAAAGCCAAATAAGTTATTCTTAACATATTAATAGAGTTTACCTATTAAAATCTTACTGTGAGGTATCCAAAGTTTAAAACAATGATTTCCCCTGTAAATTTCTACAAAATCATTTAAAAGACTCTATCATTAATGTTGTACATGCCATCAACACTTATGTTTCTTATTCATCTCTGGTTTGTTCTTGAAGGCATTTGACAATGTATAGTATTACTAAACCTGAATTACACAATATTTAAATATTGGGAAACAGTGAGAGAGGTTTCAAAGTATTCTGGAGAAAATATACAGCAGTCTGGCCAATTTCCACACACTCTTGGCCACTTGAAAAGCATTTCTAATTAGGTTATAAGTAAAGAACATTGCATTATATTTTCCTTTTGTTTTAAATGGCCTCCACCCCTATGCTGGTTTTATCAAGAGGGAAATAAAAGTATGTGCGTTTATTATTGCCATCTTATAAACTACCCTAAGTACAGTACTCTGTCTCACTTAGAGAAATACGGTTTTGTTTTTATTATGAATATACAGTAAGAGGCGTGAAAAAAATAATATATATTCCTCTGAAACAATTTCTCAACTAATGAAAGGCTCAAAAGTCTTAGATAGGAAATTATAACACTTAAGCAAAGAAGGCATTCTTTCCTAGGAACTAACCTTAAACCCTAGTCTTTGGGGGCAGTGGGGGTGGGTAGGAGCCCCTGGGGAATATACTTCATACTGCACTTTGAAAGACTAACGCTCCATTTAATTTCGCAGCAGTTGTCGTGGTTGGACCAAGAACCACCCAGGCCTGCAGGATGTTCACGTGCTTGCTCCCGGTCCTTTCGGTACTTTAACCCCACGTCCCCTTTTCTCTCTGGCCTCTAGCTGTAAAAGCCCCAGGGTGCGGAGTCGTTGTTTAGACATCACCTGGCCCTGGCAGTATTTTCTGTCTCATTGTCTTGTCTGGACTTTCCCACACAGAGTAAGTGGCCTGTTCTGGAGTTAGCCACTGACAAGAATGGGGCAATCACACAGAACCTATGTACATAGTTTGTATGTGCAATGATCTTTTTTTTTTTTTTTGTATCTATTCTTTCGCATACATAACAAAGAGAGTAGAATTACTAAAAATCCTTGGGCTCAAACTCACTAACTTTTTATAAAATCCTCTCTGCACACAATGTTTTAAATGATGCAGTCAAATGGTGGTGGGGGGATGTTATAGAACAGGGAGATTTGACTAAGATCTAACAAGTCAGAGCTAGGTTTAAACCAACATAATGCTCCAGAATTATATTATAAATGTAATTATAGGTAACCTACATCAAATCCTATGGGCTTGTTTAGAAACTTCTGAAAACAAACCAGCATCGTTTCTCATTATGCAGCCATGGTTGGGGTTTTACAGTTCTTTATCCCAGGACTGGAACCCAAATGTGCTGACCTGGGACTGGCATTCTGGAGAACGAGCAAACCGGGGAGCATGGGATGGTTCAAGCGAGGTCAAAGCACGGAATCCTGTTCCCAAACAGTGTAATTCACCATCCAACTGTTGCTGGACTCACATCGAGACCTTTCTGAACGTGATGTCACGGTTAAGTCACACTGCCAACAGAGTCTATACTTAACCAGCTTTCATCTTACTGTTTGTATCAGCATTCATTGACAACAGCTCACGTGTTTATTTCAAACACAAATTTCTAATTATAAAGCATAAAAGACAAAAAGCTTTGTCCTCAACAAACTGACGGAGCAAATACATAAATACCTGAACTACCAAACATAATCAAAGTCCCATAAAGAAGTTTAGGAAAATTCCGTGAGCCTTGAAAGAAGGGGCAGGACAATCTGTTTGGGGTCAGAGAAAACAACACGAACCAAGACCTGAGAAACCAAGGTGGGGTGGCGTTGATGAGCAAGGAAAGCTACTGCGCAGCGAGCGCCCAGTCCCAGTGTGCAGGGAGGAAGTGCGACTGGGCAGTTCCGAGAACCACACTGCCTGCAGGGAAAGCGGGCAGCAGGTGGGCAGCACACGGTGGGTGGCAGGGCTACCAACAAGACTGTGGCTATTGAGGAGATTAAAACAAGTCACTAGCAAAATGAGCTATGCTGAGCACACAGGAAGGTGATCTCAGGCCTACAATCACCCCTGAACGGGACTAGGGTAGGTCGGACCAGGTGGAAAGGAGACTCTGAATCTACTGGACTGGGTACCAGATTTGATATTCAGGAGCAATGAATGAGCGGGGCAGGAGTCGTCATCAGAGTGTGCCACCCTTCGGAACCTGGATGATCCAGAAGAGCCTGACTACCCCAAGAGAAACAGGGATGTGGTGGTGGAGAAGGTGGGTGGGGTGGTATTCTGTATTGTTTATTGTTTAGTTGGGGGGAGGGGTGGCATGCAGGGGCCTGATGTGGACAAACGGGAATCTGGAGCAAACATCTGTTCCACAATAGACACCTGACTAGAGAGGAAACAGGGCTCCTCTCCTCCCACGGATAAATGGAAGGAGCATGAGGAACCGGCAAGAAGCACGCACACAGGAAGTTAGGACCTAGGAAACCGACTGTATTTAGAAAACGGGGAAAGGAATTGGGCTTCAGGAACTCGATCATGGCCAGGGGGAACCAAGGAACCCAGCTGCCCTCCAAGCTAGAAGGGCAGATCAGCAGGTGTTTCAGACAGGGCGGGGCTGTCATTACAGGGTCAAACCCGGCCACCTAGGGCTCCAGAAAGGTGAGTACTGAGAAAACGAAAGGCCACGGGGCTGTGGCCCTGACAAGGTCTGCGAACTTTTGGAACTTGGCGGCAGCTGGGAAGAAGACACAGTGCACGTCCCGGGAGCCTGGCTTCGGGGGAGTCAGCTTGTCTTGCAAGGGATTAGGACAGAAGACCTGGTGGCACAACAGTTAAGCACCTGGCTCCGGACCAAAAGGTTAGCGGTTCTCCCCTTCCAGCCATTCAGTCGGGGAAAGGCTTGGCAACCTGCTTCCATCAAGATTACATCCCAGAAAGCTGTGTGGGGGCAGCTCCACTGTCCTGTGGAGTCCCTGTGAGGTCAACCTCACTCGACGATACCTAGCAATAGAGAAATCCACTCTCTTGTCTATGACTAAGTCAGGGGTCCTCAAACTTTTTAAACAGGGGCCAGTTCACTGTCCCTCAGACCTGTTGGAGGCTAGACTATAGTTTAAAAAAACTATGAACAAATTCCTATGCACACTGCACATATTTTGAAGTAAAAAACAAACGGGGAAAAAACACCCACGGGCCAGATAAATGTCCTCAGTAGGCCGCATGTGGCCCGTGGGCCGTAGTTTGAGGACCCCTGCTCTAAGAGGCCCTGGTGGCATGATGGTTACGAGTTAGGCTGCTCACCGTAAGGTCAGCAGTTCAAAATCACCAGCCGCTCCTCGGGAAAAAGCGGGGGCTTTCCACTCTCGTAAAGAGTCCGTCTCAGAAACTCCCAGGGGCAGCTTGACCCTGTCCTTTAGGGTCACTATGAGTCGGCATCAACTCGATGGCAGCGAGGGTATCTGGGAGTCTGAAGGCAGCTATAAGTTGCTGCTTTTCAAATCTCTAAGGGAAAGAACGACATTAGAATTCTGTATCAATCCAGCGGGGAGCTTACTGTTGTGAAGTGCCCTCCAGTCCCACCTGAGAGGGACACCACATGCAACAGAGCCAAGCACAGCCACGCCCTGGGCATCCTCACACTCGTGCCTGGGCGGAGCCGGCGGTCTCAGCCAGGGTCGCTCCACCTCATTCAGGGCCTTCCTCGTTTTTGGCTGACCTTTTAACTCGACCAAGCATGATGTCCTTCGCCAGGGACTGGCCCCTCCTGACCACATGTCCAAATAGGTGAGATGAAAGACTGTCCTCTGCCCTTCTACGGCTCATTCTGGCTTGTATTTCTTCCCAGAGTTGTACTTTCTTCTGGGAATCCACAGGAAGAAGGGGGAGAAAACGCCCTTTGTAACATCTGATGATTTGCGTGGTGTTAATGCTTCTACTGTGGCTGATTTCAAGCTGCCAACAACTGGCAGAATTCCTGAAACTTTAGCAAGAGCCTGCCAATGTAAGCCAACTCCAGCACACCACCCTGCTAACCACCTCTTTTATGGTCTCTCCTGCAACTGAGCAAGTATTATCTACCCTGCTTTCCTCTAAACCCAAAGCGGGACTGATAATGTAATCATTCTCTGGAATAATCTTGCAGCCATTCACAGAAGCTGGGCCTACTCGGGTTACATTTTGCTTTCTCAACTGTATTGCAGTTGGAAAAGGTAGGATGTTGAAAACAGAAATGGGTGCTAAGCATGCCAGTCTTCACTATGAGGGTTATAAAGGAAGAGTTCAAATGAACAGGGCTCCCCAAAACCCTCAGGTGGGGGCTGTATAATTGTTTCCTCCCTAAATGCCCTCTCCCCATTTAAACCTGATAGATCTTATGGACAGGGAACTTGATTCAAGATTTCTCTTTTCCACTGGTTCTTAGGATACTTCAATTACCAAGCAGTCAAGTTGAGAGAGAGAGAGAGAGAGAAAGGTGTGCTCTGGAGGACTCAGTGGTGACTGTCTGTGAACATGCAAAATAAACAAGTGTTCAGCCGAGCTCGTGAGTCTGCGGTGGGTGAGGCAGGAGAACCACGGAGGAAATCCCTCGGACCACATCCAGAACCCACAGGGGGACTCCAAGCAGGGTGCTGGTAGAACTCCCACAGTCCGTGTCACCTGAAAAATGGAACAATGATACCTACCACTCATGGCTGGCCTTAGCTTGAGGAGAACGCGGTCTGGGGAGTACCAGCGGGAAGAGGGGCTTAGCTCTGAAGGTCGTGCCGGTTCAGGCAGTGGGCACTGTTCAAATGGACTGCCCTCTGAGGGCTATGAAGGCCACTGCTGTGGCTTTCTTCCTGGTTTCCAGCCAATGACCTCAGTCATCACCCAAAGCCACAATTCCTTTCATGTTTGTGCCCTGGACTTCCCAGAACCTCGAGACCACAGAGTACTTCTGAAGTACACGCAGAAGCCAAACATGCTGTGACAAACCAGACGAGGACCAGTGAGCTGCCCACTTACGTTCACGTGACATTCAGCATCCTACCTCCATCAAAAGGAAGCTACCAACCAACCCAAACAGTACTCGTCGTTGCACAAACAAACTCAGGGAAGTACCAAACTTCCGGTAGCGTAGCATTTTCCACCTGGGGGGGTCCTGCCACATGCCCCTGTGCTCATGGCACTTCAGAATATCTTTCATCATTTGAGGTTTATGTTTCATATACAAATTTAATCTTTTTTGTTTGTTAGCTTTTTATTAATCATTTTCTTGGGGGGGGGGCTCTTACAAATCTTCTAACAATCCATCATTCAATGGTATGAAGCACACTAGTGCATAAGTTGCCGTCAACATTTCCAAAACATTTTCTTTCTACTTGAGCCCTTGGTATCGGCTCCTCCTCTTTCCACCTCCCTCCCCTCTTCTCCCACCCTCATGCAAATTTAATCTTCTGAAGTAGAACTGTTGTCAAAAAATTACACACAGGAGGAGAAATACAGAAGTCTGTTTAGTGTCTAATACAGACTTCTAATCTGGAGACATAAGGTAAAATTTTCATAGTGATTTAATTCTTCCACTATTATTCTAGCAAGTGTATGAGGTTACATGGGAAAAGGTGTATGAAGTTCGTTACATGGGAAAAGGTCTATGAAGTTAGTTACATGGAAAACAGTACACAAAAATCGAATTATATAATACATGAATTACTTGCAAATAAAATTGCTGGGAAAAAATAAAAGAAGCTGGATCAGAAAATAAGTAATATTTACATATCACACAAGCTTCATATTAGACAACTGTCTTCTAACTGCCATAAAGTTTCTGATTTAACAAAGCACATGTGCGCACACCCAACGCACACATACACACACCCATATACACACCCCCTCTCTCAGAGCCTCAGCTAATCACAGGTACAGATGCACACAAAATGGGATAGGAGGAGCTTGGCAGCAAAGGAACATCTCCAGTAGAAAGATGAACGATTATTTCTGAACATGTTATCCATACCTTAAATGTCAACATTCTTTCTACAATGTGCGTCCTGCTGAGTTACATGCTCCTGGGATTTTAAAACCATACACCCAATGCTCCAACACCCCTTTTCTTCTCCAGGGGGCTTTCCTTCCCTGACACACCCACTGATTGCTGGCCACTTCGTGGGTGAATCTGGGGACTCCGTCCCTTCCTCCGAAGGGTTCTGGTGGCACAGAGATGAAAGCATTGGCTGCTAACCGGAAGATAGTGGTGGAAACCCACCAGTTGCTCAGGGGTGGCAGCTGGCTTCCTAAAGATTTCCAGTTTCAGAAATGCATTGGTGGGGTGGGGGTGGGGGGCGGCAGTCCTACTCTGAGGCGTCTCTAAGGCAAGGCAAGCTCTAGAAGGGCGGGTATGGAACCTGCCCTGGGCAATCTGAAGGAGGTGTCACTGGGCAGTTTCTATTACCCATTACAGAGCCTCCCTTGCCAGTTTCCAGAGATCACTCTTGAGCAATTGAAACCAGTATTTTTGTACTCGAGAGCCTCCGCGGGCAGGTTAGGCATGACGCTAAATCACAATATTGGTGGTTCAAACCTACTAGCCCCTCTATACAGGTGAAAGCCAAAATAAAGAATTACCGCCTGGGAAACCCTAAAGAGGGTCACCAAGAATCGGTATCAACTCCATGACAGTGGGGTTTGTCTTATGGGTCCAGGCAGAATGTGTGATCTTGCTAAGCTACACACAGAAAAAGAAATTAAAAAAAAAAAAGACGAAGAAGAAAAGATCAAGCACAACTGAGGCCAATTTTCATCCGTTGAAAGAAACGTTTCCACTGTAATTTTCATGTCGGGCAAAAGTGTGCTCAGTGGGGGACCAACCAGAGTGATCCTATGAGTAAGTGATCTAATGGTGAGTGGCCCCCGTCTGGACAGGGGCACAATTTGGGTGCTGGCCCTGGGCGCTGTACCCCTGCAATACACCGTGGTTCTCCTCCTCCGGAGCAGAAGGCGGCGGGCCTGTTCGGGGTTCCTCGGTGAGGACCGGCTCCGGGGTACCGCGGGTCTGGCCCAAGGATGGACCGGCGCGGCGCCTACCTGGAGACGCTTGGAGGTGGGCAGAGCGCCGGGCCGGTTCCAGTACCTCCTGGACAGGTGCAGGGCACGCTATTCATCGCCCGCCCGCCCGCCGGGCAGGGCTGGGGTTCGGGGCTGCCCCTGCCTCAGGACGACCCTCGGCGGGGACAGAGCCTGC